ATATAGAATATCTTCCGGCCGAGCACAATTGTCAAATGTCATTGACAAATCTTCGTACATTTCTGTTAGGATTTCTATGCGCCTATTTCGTTCCTATGAATATGGTCGTTTTCATATATATTTACATCGTTCAATATATTCGTCGCACTGCTCATACACAACAAAATCGACAGAATGCCAATAGACGAGATATGATTGTTCTCAAAAGGCTTCTTGTACTGTTTCTGGTACTCATTATCTTCGGTCTACCAACACTTTTGATTATGATCATCTATTGGACCACTCAATATTTGACACCATTGATTTATCGTATACAACATTTGACTGTAGCATCGGGAGTAGTGGCTGCCACGATTATTCTTCCGTTTATAACACCACGAATGCGGAAAGCATTCATTGGAGTTCGAACGCGAATTAATCCCACTAATACAACACTAGATACTCAACACGATACAATATAACATTTCTGAAAACAGTATAACAAAACTTGCTTACACGTCGATGAGATGCTATTGGCCTACAACCATTGAGCCGTGCTGAAATCATTCTATTTACTGCGTGGTCATGGTGTCGCGAGTACATTTCTAACACAAGCGAACGAACAAGTTCCCTATCAAATAAGCAAATATGAATACATAAAGGATGTCCGCTAAGTTTTGACCTGCATAATCGATTTTATTTTTTTTTACATGTTTCTTCACCGAAAAAGACTGATATTACCAGTATATATTGTAGGTATTTCTATCTATCGTATGCCAGAATTTCAGCTTATTGGCTCTTATTGTTGCAAAGATACAAGTATCCTAATTTTTCATGGGAAAATTTTGAATTACTATTCAAACATTTCATTGAAAATGTACATGAAACAGCTCGCGGCAAGAAACGCAATTGACAAATCAAATCTCTTGAATAAAAGAAACAAAAATCATCAACGTGAAGCTACCACGACGACCAATCATATTTCAGATATAATTCACCAATAAAAAAACATGCATGAAATATATACAATAATCCAAACAATACCAATACATTTTCTTTAGTTACCAAAACAAATTTGTTCAAACCACTAAGCGCGAGCAGCATAACTAGCACATGTAAATTTTACGATTCTCACAAAACATGAACGACTGCTATCATCATAAGATTCCAAGCCTTTACATAAAACAAACATCATCGCCTATTTCTCTCCTGTTCTTTATCACAGCGTTCCACACCATACAAGATGCGTGCGCCAGAGACAGTATTTCATCTTCTATCGAATCACAAAAATATGCAGTACCGTACATAGCCCAAGATGCAGGGGTTTTCTAATCAAAGCTAACCTTTCACAAAAGGATCGTTCATTTCACGATAAGAATTATTTTCACTAATAATCTTACCAGATTCACTGCTTTTCAAGATGTGTAATAGATCGAGAATTGAATTCTTAATCGAACTATATCACACTCGTCTACCAGATACAATTCACAAATGACCAGCTGTCTCAAGAACGAATCATCATCCCATAAAACGGGACACTTCACACGAATCCAACTTTTCCGTTTTGCTCAATGTACGCCCATAGTTATGATACACTCAATTAAACTCATTATTTATTCTTTTCGACACATATCACACTTAGTTCTCGGTAAATTCTCGTAAAAAAATTCACGCTTCAACACCATTCAATAAATCCACCATCTCCTACATACCGTCTCACAACACCACCATGTAGATCCTACACTACATCCACAAACAACAGTAATATCTATGAGGGTGTGGGTATGCGCATTCTTAACACAAACCGCACCCACACCTTGTTTTAACCCCGGTAGCATGCTGATGCAGAATATATATCATACATAACATCAACACACTTCCAAGAGTCTTTGCAACACCAAATCAGTACCATTAATATATTTAATTTCCTAATTATTTTAACATTGATGAAAGTTCGATAAATTCGTTGGGAATACTCGTACAGCAGCTTGTTTTAATCGCTGTAACACGCTGATGAGGAATATGTATCATACATGATGCCAACAGACTTCCATGAGGACTTGGAAGACCAAACAACTTGTTCCAAAATCTTTTGTTTTTTATTTATTTTGACATTCATGAAAGTTCGATAGTTTCATTGAACATAGTTGAGGAGTACCTTATTTCAACCGCCGCGGTAATATGCTGATGAACAATATATATCATACATGACTCCAACACACTTTCACAGAGACTTGGCAGATCAAATGTGTTCCATTAAAATATTTAATTTTATAATTATTTCAACTTTGGGGAAAGTTGGATACTTTCGTTCAAAGTCGTCGTGCAGCAGCTTGTTTTAACGGCTGTAACATGCTGATGAAGAATATATATTTTACATGATACTAAGACACGTCCACGGGGATTTGGAAGACCAATTGGGTTTCATTCAAGTATTTAGTTCTATTATAATTTCAACTTTGGTGAAACTTCGATAATTTCGCCGAAAATAGTTGTGCAGTAGCTTATTTTAACCGATATAATATGCTGATGAAGAATATGTATCGAACATGATATCAGCACACTTCATCTTGGACTTGACAGATCAAAAGGGATCTCTGAAAGTATTCGATTTTCTAATTATTTTTACTTGGATGAAATTTGGATAATTTCGTGTATAAAAGTGCTGGAATATCTTGTTTTGACCGGTGTAATATACTGATGAGGAATATACTTAGGGCATACCAAAAGTACGAACAGTGACACTTTAATACCGTATAGTAGACTTAAATAACTTTCTTTCTATATAGTCTGACAGAGAAAAAAAGCTCTATCTTTCTATGCTATTTGATCGTACTTTAACTAATATCATAATATTAAATTATCTATAAAGCCTATTTCGGCTGGTTATGTGCTGGTTGTACAGGGTTGCCAAAAATGTTTTTCCATGGGGCGATCAGAAATCTTTTTTGCCTGTCGCACTTTGTAGAGCTCTCTTTGCTGATCATTTTGGTAAAAAAATCTTTTGAGCGTGATCAATAAATAACGGCACTAGGGTCAAAATACTGGAAATTTCAAAATCCTGTGGTTGATATAGCTAAGATATTTTTGGGTATTTTGACCTTACTACCATTATTTATTGATCAAATTTAAAGACTTTTTTTAGAAAAATGATCAGCAAAGAGAGCTCTACACAGCCTGATAGACAAAAAAATTTATGAGAAATTTGTGTTTTTGTGATTCACTACCCACCCACGTGAGTGTTCAACCACTTGAATCTGGCTATAATTCTATAGCTCATTCTCATCTTAAGAATGACTAGTTATACTTCTAAATCCTGTTTTTGACGGGCTTTCATTTGGTATAAAATTGAATGTTGATATCATTTATCGTTGAAGTTGTACCTCATGGGAAAACATTTTTGGCAACCCTGTACAACCAGCACATAACCAGCCGAAATAGGTTTTATAGATAATTTAATATTTTGATATTAGTTGAAGTACGATCAAATAGCATAGAGAGATAGAGCTTTTTTTTTCTATCAGACTATATAGAAAGAAAGTTATTTAAGCCTACTATATGGTATTAAAGTGTCACTGCCCGTACTTTTGGTATGCCCTAAGTATATCATACATCACGCCAACACACTTCAAAGGGGAGTTACTGGACGAAAAGGATTTCCTTGATATCTAAAATTCCAGAATTATGCTAGCTTTTATGGAAGTGATATATTTTCTTTCACATTTAACATGTTCATTATTTTACAGATGATGATGACCTTTATTGACACGGCTATTATTGAGTAGGATTATTGTGGTGTTCTAGTTTAGGTCACGATGCCCTTCACTGTGTTCAACTTTGGTGACGTTTCTGAGATGGTCACGTTGGCATTGTACACGATGCTTCATAGATGATACTCTCTGTGAGTACTTTTGGCACGAAAGTGGCGATAACTAAAAGTGTAAGACATGCAGATGGAAGGTTATTAAGCATTAGAATGTTTCAGTATCTTCTCCAAAAGTTATTCACGAAATGACTGTTGTAGAATTTTGCATTGATTATGAAATAGTCAGAAAGAAAATTCATGACGAAATCTAAATTGTTTTCAATGATTGAACGCATTTTATAAGTTCATTTTAATCTTCATCCTTCTGATAACATGAAATATATATCAGATGATTTAATTTTGAATGAAGAATGCCCAATATGTTAATACCCATTCGAAATATTGTGCAGGTGACGCAAGGTTAAGATGGCCTTCAACAAGAATCGGATGATATAAATATATGCCAGCATGACCTATGGCAGCTTATGATACTTTTTGATAAGGTCACGATGAGGTCTTTCGTTTAGGTTTTCAGGTATTATTTGATTCCTTATATTTCAGATTTTTGTTATTGATACTATTTCCCAACAAGGATCTGGAACATCTTTGAATATGAAGCAAGACGATGCACTGTATCATAGTAATAGTTGTTGTTAGCCATGGAATTATATCTCAACTCTCTGTGGTGACCAACTCGACGACGTTTCTGAGCGAGATTCCGCCTTTTTATATGATAACTACAAGAAAGAGAAATACAAATGTTATTCAGTTCGAATTATTAAAAAGGTTTTAGAAAGCTAATAAAATGAACAAGTACGCATTTCTTTTATTGAAGATTATTTGAATTAACATCTTTTGAAGAAAAAAATGATATTTTGAATAAATTGAACGATTAAACGTAGTGCATTATTGTATTTCATAATAATTTTTTTGTATTGATCTAAACAAGACAATAAAAAGAGAAAAATTTCAAAACACAACATCTGTTACTGATGTTACTTACTTATAAGATTTCATCATCATCACTATCATAATCGTCGAAATAATAATATTGTTCAAGTTGTTCTTTTGGGTAATCGAGATTTAATATAGTTACTAGTTTAGTAGCAGTTAAACAATCATCTACGGTATATTGTATCATTAATTCGACCTTTTATTCTTCTTTTGTATCTGTTTCAGACGATGTATATAAATTTTCTAGATCAAGTTGACGACTTCAGTTTTTATTTCGTTGACTTTTATCATGAAATTCTTTAAATAAATAAGCTATTGCCATCTGAAGTGACCATGCATTATTGGATTTTTGAAGTGATTTATTTGAATGTGAAGTTAGGATTTCAGCAATAGCACGTGATGAACGATCAATTTTAGTTTCAAAATTGTTATTATGCCAATTTTTAAAAAAATCCTGTATAGTAAAATTATTCATATGATGAATAACTGCTGATGAAAAAAGACCAGAAAGTATAAGATCAGTTAATTCCTTTATTGCATTGCCCCATGAAAATACCATATTTGATGGGTTTAAGATGATTTCGAAAAGAGAATTTATTAATCAAAATGATACTGATGATTTATGCGGTAAATAATTTATTCCGATTAATAATATAATAGATTCATGCTGGATAAATTCTATTTGAATAAGTGCAGGTTGATGTGTTAAATAATCACCTTCGGTATCAATAGTATATCTTGTTGTTTTTTTACCAAATGCAATAAGACTATGTAATAGCATAGTCGATGTTGAACCATTTATATGATAGAATTGATATTGATTAAGTGATGTAAAAATAGGTAAAACATTGAACATATTATTTAATTCATGTTGTCGATCATTTATTGATATTTTGTGATTTGAAGACATGCTATTTTAATAATTAAAACAAAAGAGTCAAATTACTACAAATAATTGATAAATATTTTACTTGTATTACGAATTGAACTTATATTCAATGTTGAAATAGATGTGGAAATGTTGAAGTTATACGTTGAATAGATTTTATCTAGATAACGATAATAGAATGAATAATGAAACGTTTGTTTTGAGAAATGTAGATAAGAAATCGCAGAATGAGAATATAGCAAATGTATAAACAGTATCGTTAATATAAATAAACTATCAATGAAAAGTGTATTATACAGAAAGTATCATTCAAGCATTGCTCTTTATTACCATTTGAAAACAACAATATCCTGCAATAAGAATGATGAACAAGTGTAGAATTATGTACAACAAAGAAAATGTCAATAAAAAAGAAGTTTGATATCATTCAAAGAATATTACTAATGAAATGTCAGGATGACCTTATTCATTATTTCAATGCCTTACGGTCATAATTAGGAGTTTTTCTTCAAAGTAGAGCTTGTTCTCGTTGATCAAGCCGAAGTTCATGAAACTTTTAATTGAATTGACATTTTGAACCTCAATAGAATAAATAATATAAATCAATTAATTGATGACTCTTTAGTGATTGTTGTTCTTCTTTCATATCCCATTTTTGTTGACTTATACAAGCAAATAATTCATGACGAAATCAAAGATCTGTAAATTGCTTGTGATTCATATGTTCACGTCGAGTATAATTAAATTATGAGAAGAATAGTCTTATATAATATTGGACAAAATCTAATGAATATCCATTTGAAAAAAAATGTTATTTCGAGAGAAAGTCGTTCTTCTTCGAAATCTTCGAGTAAACTACCACATTGACCAACCCGTTGAAGAGCAACTCGAAATCATTGTTGATGAGCTAATTGTGAATGACCATTAACATATGGTATTAAAAGTGGTTGACTTATTGAAACATGATCAGCATGAGTAAATAAACGACCGTTTTGATTTTCAACATATGCTTGAAGAAAAGAAACATCATTTCGAATAAATGTGATTATTTGAAGAATTCAATTTAGCGTTTGTTGAAGTTCATCGAATAATTTCCGCAATACATCGATCGATTGACTCCATCTCAAAAATCCCATGTCATAATATCGACCACAAAATGCATGGTTCACATGAATATTTCTACCTAATGGTAATTGCCAATCATGTATATAAATAGGACCTAATAGATGTGTCGATGATAAATTTAATGTACTTCCTTTCATAAGTCAATAGATTTTTCTTTGATAAGAAAAAAACAGTAATTCATAATACTATTGCCGCTAATTCTATATTAGCAGCATTAGATCTATTTCTGATAAATGTGATAATATCTAAAATTTTGGAGAGAACTAAACATAAAAACGAATAGAAGGTTATTGTGCTTTCATGTTATACATGAAAACGAAAAAAAACAAGGAAAGATATGTGATACAATAAAACAAAAGCTCCAAAATCTTAACTTGATAGTGATGTACTGTCCATTTAATGCTGTACATAATCATTCTAAAGTAAATGAACGAAGTATTCAAGTTTATTGACAAATTTAAGTTTTACCTTCACAAAATGTTTTAAATTGATTTAATTGTTCGGGAGTTCAATCGAGTTCTACGACCGTCAATAATTTGCTAATTGCTAAACAACGATAGACACAGTAAATTGTATTTTGTAGATAATTTATAGGACTTCCATTTGGTTTACGAATAAATTCTTGGAATATATAATTTATTGCTGTTTCTAGAGCCCATTGATCACTTAAATTCTTATATGAACGATATAGACAAATACAACAAGAAGCCTCGTGATTGATAAATGATGGTACATGACATTTTTCATAGTGTTTTAATGTTTTATTTTATCAGTGTTTGAATGGTACTTGTAATACAATAATATTTGTATCATCTAATGTTGACTTTGAAAGATATCTGTATAATACAAATGCTTGAAGATCTTCTTTATTGTCACTAGATCAAGCTAAGATTCTTTTTGATGGATGAAAGATTTTGTTCAATAACAATTGTATCATTGAAAATAATGGTGCATTCGGAAAAGGTAAATGTAATAGTTCAAAACATAATACAATAGATTCTTTTTGTTCGCCTTGAACTAATTCAATTTTAATTAAGAAAACGTTTCGTAATTCACGATGTCTTTCTGTATCGATTGAAAATGTTTTTGTTTTATCAACTTGTTCGACAAGTGGTAACACAAGCTGTACAGATGTAAAATGATTTTAATGCTTGAAATGGATTTAATCCTAACCTATTGGGATCTTGTCGTTGTTTAAAACAATAATTGTTTATCTTATTATTATATTGTTCATGTAATGAAGGAATATGATAAGAATTTGTATTATACATAGCCATTTTATGTTCCTATAAAATCTAGTATGTATCTAGAATGAACAAGAAAAGAAATTAAAACTAATATACTAATGTATGAAATGCAAAAACATATACAATAATTTGAAGGATAATAAAAAAAAGAATATAATATTAAAAATATGCAAAATGCATAAAATATTATAAAAAATGCAAATTTGTTGATCAATTCATCAACAAAAAATATATAGATAGTACTGGATCATTCATAAATAAATGAAAGAATTTTTCATTGATTGATAAATTGAATTAATATGAAATTGAAAAAAAAGGAACATGTAATAAGTTTTAGTATTGTTAAAAAGTCTTTATAGATAAGTATTTATATGCCACCAATCAATCGGGCATATATATTCATTTTGAAACTGCAAAATGTCATTTTAAATTGATGGAACTGCTGGCAGATGGTGCTTCTTGCGACGAATAGATTGACTTTTTATTATTTCTTGTTGTGGTGGCCCTTGCTCTTGTTGTCGTAGTTGTGCTTCTAGTTGTTGCAATAGTAATTGTTGTTGAAGTTGTTCATCCATATTCGGAAATAAGCATTTCGAAAAAAATGAACAGCAAGTCTTTCATGGACTAAATCCAGCGTAAGATAGCAAAAAATATATAATAAATCCAATGAATATGGTAAGAAAATTCAAATCAAACGGACCACGCCAACTTGTTAATATAGGACTACTATTAGAATGATGAGTACTGATCGCATCTGAGACGAATGTTGTATTGATAGAATTATTAATTAAATAATTAATCATGGTACGGTGATCATTAATTGTTGTTTGTAATGCATATATATCGATACTACCAGCATCAACTTGACGTTTCATTCGTCGGTTATTATTTGATCTTTCAATGATTGCACAGGGATGTAGTTTTAACAAAATTTTTATTTCTTGCAAGGTCATTTGACGTTGACAGTGATTCGTTTCATTATTATAGTCCTTTGGACCGTAATTCAGGGTGAGACTAATTTTTTTCTATTGCTCTCCTGCGATAGGTTTTTTTCTTATTTTTTGGCCATACTTAGGGGTTTGCTAGGGGGTAGTATAGGCTATATAATGGCATAATTATATTGAGATATCATCATGCTGACCATATGAAAAAAATAAAAAAAGTTATATAAAAAAATCAAGTGTGACAGGAATTTTATTCAGTTTCGAAACTTATTTATTTGAAGTAAATGACAACTAATTTACAATAGAAAATGACATTTACAATGAGTATTAACACTTCTGCTCACTAGATATACAAATAATGATCGAATTACATTTATATAATAAAAATTTATTCAATAAAAGCCGACATATCCATATTGATATCATCATCTTCATCGTCATCTTCTGCATCTTCATCTGCTTCTTCATATTGATCGACATTCTTTAAATTATCTATCGATCCTTTCAACCAACAATCATCGTCAATGAGCATATTACAGTATTTATGAGTATGTAAAATCATTTTCTTGACCATTTCAGAAGATACTCCTTCATGTTCAGCTCCATTACCGTTGAATCCTTCTTTAGTATGTTTAATTAATTGCTGAAGAGTTCTGGAAGTTGTGAACTCTTTAGCTACATAAGCTTTAACGTATGCCCATACCAATTCAATAGGTTGAACTTGAGGACAATATGGTGGAGTATATATAAGATAATGAAAATCAGGCATATTGACTTTTAGATCTAACGATTTTTCTATAAATAGTTTTTCCAACAATGTTTTTTGAAGTTCAGGACATTGTTTGATCCAACTTTCCATGTACACCTGCAATTCTTTTTTATAAGGACCTATAGGACCATTGAATTTCCATTCATTAGCTTGAAATTCTTTTGGATAACCATTTCGAATAATTGTTATATTTTTTACTCGTTTTAACACAAGAAGATCAATCATATCACTTTTTGACATTAATTTTATATTCACATAATCATCACCTCGTTCTTTATGATAAGGAGCGTTGTCAAGCATAAGTATCATTCTCTTCTTACGTCCATATTTTGCTTGAAATGCAGGAAATAATTGTTGATTAATCCATAGACGAAAATTGTGACCATCCATATTCGAATGATAATCACCTGATGGATGCTTTGCTTCATATATTAATTCAGCAGTGATAGTTTTATTACTTGAACTTCCAGTTTTGTGAAGAAGACCATCATTAGTAATGGCATGAACCAATATAAGTCTTTTGCCAACTCCAGCACCAGTACGAATATCTTTATCTTCATTATCTGAATATCACCCATAATGACTATGATGACCAGTAGTAACATACGATTCATCCATGTAACATATAACTGCTTCTTTCTTCTTTTCCAGTTTTAAAGCAGCAGCATATTTAATAAGAAATTGGCCAATACGCTTGAGACGATTAGGATCTTGTGTTAAACTTGTTGCATCTTTCAATAAACCATATGACAGCTTCATTTTATCATGCATTAGATAATATATTGACCAATAACTGATATGTGTACCATGTGTATCAGCAATTGTTTGTTGAATATCTTTAACAGTTGTAGTTATACCTGCAGCATGACGGTCCATAATAGTGGTTATAATAAAGTAAGGTAATGTTGTAAGTAAATCTGTCGATCGTTGATCTACTGATCCACCTCTAACACCTGATTCAACATATACCTCTTTGTATTTATTCCAATGCGATACAAGTGTATCTAACGTGGAATGTCCACGACCTAAATATAAACCGGCTTTGATAATTGCTTCTGTTTGTGTCAGATTAACATTTTCTAACATGATATTAAATATAACCAATAGAGCAGTTGCATTATCTCGATGAGATGATTGAATACCTTGACGTGACCATTTTAATTCATCTATCCATTGTGTTAATTTAGATCTATATCTAGACGTAGCTTGTCTTTGTGCAGCTCCTTTACATCTTTTCTGTGACATATTTTGAATAGATGCTGCTGATTGTTTTCGTTTTCTACCAGCACCTGGTAGAAAACCACTATGACCACGATCATCACGATCATCGTAAGTAGTATCAGGATCAGGATCATTATCCATTTTTTTTATAAATAAATAAATAAGAATGATTGGATGAAATGCTATTGGTCAATGATAGCTAGTGTGTAGAAGCGTATGACAGACAAGTGAAATTGAAAAAAATCCCTAGCAGTGATGAGTAAAAATCAAGATAAGGGAATCGACAGTTACATATAAAATAAATAATTATTTATATGTGAGTACAGTAACGGACTTTTGGACTAGGGTTAATAGTAGCTGGTGACCGCCTCTACATGACCATATACATATATTATAATAAATATCTTTTATTGCTTAGAAAAAATGAGAAAGAGAAAAAAGTGTCAAAATTGAAAAAAAATCAAGTTTTCATCCTGAATTACGGTCCAAAGTACTATAATTATCTGGCCAATTCCTGCAACATTAATTGATATCCAACCATATTATTCAATGTGGTATAATTGGGCACGGACTCAGTGTAGGGTCCAGGGCCTGTCATATCGAAATGATATGAATAATGATGAAAAAATTATACAACAACATCAACAACAATTATCATGTCATTGTCATCCACCATCACCATACAAAATTAATGAACTTTGGTCGCTNTTGAATTCTTCAAATGAAAAGTTTGTCAAACTGTAAGCCTATTATTTTCTCAAAGAGGGTGTGGGTGGGTGTGGATGGGTGTGGATGGGTGTGGGTGTGGGTGGGTGTGGGTGGGTGTGGGGTGTGGGTGTGGGTGTAGTTTGTGCTACAAATGCAGACACTCACACCCACCCACACCCTAGTAATTCATTGATAATGATGTTTTGTGTATTTGTGTGTATTGTGTTCTGAAAGACCGTAGAACGTGTTACAGGTTGAAAATGATCGAAAGAAAGATCGAAAATTCCCGTTTAAAATAAAACAGCATTCCACTCAGCTACAACTATACAATGTTTTCTTAAAATTTGAATTCAATCTCATGTACTGATATCTTCTGAAAAATACATACTTGAAATTACTAATGGATAAAGATATAAAAATGAAAAGATGTACATAGTTACAATTGACTTCGAGTCAACAAACCTAGAAATAAACGTTTCTCCTTTAAAAATACTTAGGGCAAATCAAAAGTACTACCGGAGGTACTTTTTTTTCTTATAGAAAGCTTTAAAAAATTTTCTTTGTTGATGATGTGATGGAGAAAATAACGCTCTATTTTTCTATGCTATTTGATTGCTATTCAACTAATATTATAATAATAAGATTCCGATAAAAACTGTTTTTGTTGGAAACTAGCTGGTAGCAGTAGATCATAATGGATATAGCATCAAAAATGGGATACTTTTGCATTTCATTTTATGATCACTTGGCACGTTGTATTAAAAAAGAAAATATATCACAAGATACAGCGTGAAAAGCTCTACAATTTAGAAAGAATAATCATAAAAAGATGAGATAGAAAAAAACGAATTCGTCTTTTACCAAAAAAAGCTCATTTTCGCAGCATTGAAATTCAGGCACTCAAAATTCTGTTTATTTTGGAAACAAAAACAAGCAACTATAAAATAAGTGGTTCTTTATAAACTGAACAGCTTTTCACGCTGTATCTTGTGACATATTTTCTTTTTTAATACAACGTGTTAAATGATGACAAAATGAAATGCAAAAGTGTCCAGTTTTTGATGCTATATCCATTATGATCTATTGCTACCAGCTAGTTTCCAACAAAAACAGTTTTCATCGGAATCTTATTATTATAATATTAGTTGAATAGCAATCAAACAGCATAGAAAAATAGAGTGCCATTTTCTCTATGACATTATAAAAAAAGAAAATTTTTTCAAACTTTCTATAAGAAAATAAAGTACCCTCGCCAGTACTTTTGGATTGCCCTAAGTAACTTACTAGTAAGAGTCCATTCATCAAGAAGACTTGCAGCCACATGAAAAGCACTCATAAAAATAGTTACTATGAACAAATGTATTGAACAACTTCAATCGAGTAATGATTTCTTGTTTTCCTACATTAATATTTTTTATATCATTTTATATGTTAGACATGTGTGAAGAAAAGGTTGATATAAATTTGCCGATCTTTGTTTCATGAATACATGAAGCGGACGAACGAACATGAACTTTCCTATATGAACACTGAAACAACAATCAAATAGTATGGGCAGTGAGCGAAAACCAAAAAGGGTGTGGGTGTGGGTGTGGCTCTTCACATCACCTCCACGCACACCCACACTCGGATCTGATCGGATTCGGGTCGGGTGCGGGTATAAAAATTTTCTGCTGGCCATATCCGAGTCAGACTCCACGGACGCTTGTTAGCGTCATCAAAGGATGTGAATGTAGGAGTGCTTGAAGAGAAAATAATGCCCAAACCCTGCAAAATTTTTCAGCGCAATCTCTGCAAGATTTAAATGTGAAACACGGTGGAGCTGTTGCAGTAGTGGGCAAGAGTCCTTTGCAACATGTCCCACGATCTCTAAGGGAAGAGGTTTTAACTTTCTCGCTATGACTTTCAGAATTCATTTATAAGCGTGTTTCAAGAAACATAAGAACACAAATTTCAAAAAAGAAGAAAAAAAGAAAGAGTATGATGATACGAATGATCACTGCGCTCACGGAAAAACGTGCATTCGTTCAATCATCTTTTTGTTATTCGTCACTTTTGACTGATCGGATGTTGTATAAGAAATCCGAGTGTCTCTAAGGGGGTTCCACAAAAGTAGAAAAAGGAGCAAACAGCCTTCCGATGAAAAATTTTCATGTTAGAAATGACAAATTACTATATAGTTCAAGAAGCGACTATTTTTCGCTTCATTTTTGCTGATAGCTAGACAGAATTGTGATCTATGTAAATTACCCATACAAATGCATGCAAAATGGAATCGATGTAAATTGTAGAAAATTCGCTCTCAATTCAGCCAAATGTGTTTGATTTTAAGTCCGTTTAAATCGATATCAGCATTAAATGCATTTAACTTCAGTTTTCTGAATTAATGAAGTGCATGCATTTAAATGGCATTTATGGTGTTTTTCGAATTCCTGGGTGAAAACTTCTGTTTAAAATAAAAATAGATAATTATTTAAATAAGAACTTCATAATCGAAAAATCCAAAATAACATATATGTATGTCTGTCACGATCTGTGAGGCAGGATTTATGGGAACGGGAGGACGAAGTCACTTTTCTCGCTATATAACTCAACATTCATCACCGATCGTGTTTCACAACACGGTAATAATAGATATTCATCTGCGATGATGAAATTCTATTGAATGAAAGTATCCGTTTATGTGTCCAATTTGCGTTTTCTTCTTCACCTGTTTTCTCATTTTCAGCAACGTTACGGGACACTGCAGCAAAATCAAACTGGTAAGCAAATTCATTTTTGCACGGATTAGTCGTCTCGTGCATTCTTGCAGGGCTAACCATTGTATTTGCCGAGGATATAAGTCTATTAGACGAGGCATAGACAGTTGCATTAGCTATTTTTCAAGTAAATGTACAAGTTTTGTCCGCGAAAGAGAGAAATATATTCGAATGTTTTTCCATATCACAGGAAGAATATACACCACTAGCAATATCACGTTTATCTTTCTATTACCAACTTGTGACAACTTTCTTTGCTTTTAAATAAATCATCCTTCTTCTATTTATTCGTTTCTACAGACCCGAAAAATTGAATATGGTCGACGTTAATAATGATAAATGACCTTCGCCACCGTTAATGAATGTTATCAAAATATATAAAACTCGTCGAAAGTGAGATGAGCAACTATTGTTGCCAAAAGATTATTTTATTCGAAAGAAACACTTCGACAAAGTGCATTTGATGGTGGCTTGTGTCAATAGGATCGCTGTCAAATAAAAGATAGAAACAAATGGGAAAATATTCTTTGTAACCATTCTAGTGGTTTGCATCCAAATCACTTGTCCAACTAGTTATGTCTAATTGCACAGTTCTCTTCACAGCAATTGTCTCGTATCTCATTCAAATTTGTGTGTTAGATCTGTAAGAAAGACTATACATGGATGTTTAGTCTGCCTTCCGCAGTATTAGTTTTTTTTCGTCATGCATAGTACATAGTTAAAACAGTCAGTACTGAATTTCATAAAATGAATCAAGTTTATCGGAATGATAAAAGCTACTTGTAGTTCCTTTATTTGCAAGAAAGTCAATTGTCAAAAGTCATTGTGACGCCAATATGTTTTGGCATGATGGAGAGCCGTTGTTGGTACCCGCCTGCATTGACTTCAGGTCCACCATCTCCAAATGTAACTTTCTGCATGAGTCGAGTACAAATAACTTTGAGTTCAAATCGAGCTAAGTCTTGCCCAATACATTGTCGATGTCCACCACCAAACGCCAGTGATACATATTGCTTGTCTTGTTGGTTTTCGGTTCCTTCCATCATATATCGTTCTGGGTAGAATTGATCGGGATCATAAGTCCAATAGCGTTTATCTCGTGCTAAATTGTAAAACGGTATAAAAATTTGTTCGCCCTTATACACTCGGGTTCCGTTCGATGGAAGACGATCATCAGCAAGAGCTTTTCGAGCGGCTCCATTGATTGGCGGAGCAAAACGTAGTACTTCGTTAATGACACAATCGAGATAGACAAGAGAATCGATCTGTTGGACAGTTGGATATTCTTCATTTCTTATGTTGTGTTCGACTAGTTCTAATTTCATTTTAGTCTGTACTCGTGGATGAATACTGACAAAATAAATGAACCAAGTCAGTGCAGTTGAAGTTGTTTCAAAGCCAGCAACCAGAAATAGAAGTATCTCGTCAAAAATTTCTTGTCGAGATAGACCTATACACATAAAACTATGGATAGTGAATTTTTTTGCATGAATTGCTCAATAGTGTGGTCATCTAAACACCTTACTTTCGAATAACTAGTCGCAACTAACCTCTTTTGTCTTCTTCCGCTTTCAATGCTTCACTCATTTCATCTTGTTGCAATGAGCCGACAAGCGATGCAATTAAACTTGTTCTTTTCCGCTGGGCAATTATTGATTGATCCATCTGGATTGTTTCTTCAATAATTGCATTCACATACCGGTAAAGTACAGTCAATGATTGCTGATAAGATCGATTTAATGCCAAATAAATTCGAGCCAAGGGTCCTGGTAAATAGAACATGGTTCGATACGATTGGAGATAGACGTGCAAAGCATGTGCCAGCTCATTTCGATGAATGTTTTCTTCATTTTCAAGTGTTTGTAGATCAAAATCAAAAGCAATAAAGCCAATGATAGACAAGAGAAGTTGTTGACATTGTTCGATCATGTCAAGATGAACACACGACACATTGTCTCGCGCACGCCATCGTAACAACAGTTTGTCAGTACAATTGATGATTAGATTAAGATTTGAGAGAATCTTACTGCGACGAAACAATGGTAAAGTAAGACTGGCATGACGCTTGTATTTAGCACCTAAATAGAAATGTAACTATTCAATCAATGCCTTAGGAACAATGAGTTGATAAAACGAAAAGCAATCGAGAACGGCATTTGTGGTTATATTTCGATTGTTGTTTGAAAACAATCTTCTCAAAAATATTAGTCATTTACTGATAGATTCTCGGGATTTTGTCATGCATTATGTAATCAAGTAACACTGACCTATATTGACAATGAGTGCATTGGGAAATAGCAAGGCCAATTTTTCTGAAAATATTGTTCCCACATCATAGATATGCCGATGATTATATACATGTTGAATATCATCAATATTTCCGAGAACAATTATTCGTGTAGAGCCTAGCCAAAATTGAAATATATCACCATATTGCGCTTTGAATGATCGATAGATATTTGGTAAAGTATCTCGACCTTGTAAGAGACCGGATTGAAGAAGATTGCCAAAGAAAAATTGAGGTGCAAGTCCTGGTATCGATCCACGCAATGTAAAATAGACGAGTTTCGTATAGATGAAAACAAGTAAGAGCAATATGACGACAAGTATTAACGATAAAAGAAACATGGTGAGGATAACGATGAAAACGAAGCAAAAAATGCAATGAATATATTTATGGACACATATCTCTTATTTGTGGAGAATCAACAGCTTGAAGAAAAGAAAAAAATATATCACGTATTACTGCGATGAATATGAAGTAATTGTGACAACGGAGTAAATGCATACCGTATGAAGGAAGAAAAAAAAGAAAATCGAGACAAGAGATATTTTTTGCATATAAAAATTTATCGGACGGGCTTCACATGGAAGAATCACGTTGTCTTACCATGTTCGTTCGCTATTGTTTGACAATCGTATACAATTCATTTTTGTAGTTTGTCGGGGAAAGAATAAAAACAAGCGATATCAATAGAGATGACATGAACAAAATGAAATAGCTAAAAAGAAATAACCATAAATCACCAACTGATTTCATACATCCAGATAGAAATGAAATAATTAGACGAAGTACAGCGAGAATAACAAGAATAATTGGACTAATAATCATATGCTTTTGTAGAAGAAATTATTCGTAAAAATGTGGATATCGATGATTGAACGCATGAAATCCATCTATACCCATACTCAAAGTGATCACCTACTTGACCATCGATTTCAGATATCTTCGATAATAAACATGTATTGTGCTTGTGTCTACAGCTACTTTTAAAAAATTTGATGAGCCAGAACAATGAAAAATAAAGAAAAATCTATTTTTATAAGACGAAACTAACTGGATAAGAGTGCAAGCGAGTAGCATAAACGCGTCTGATCTTGAACTATTTGGATTTGCAATAGTTAACGATTTATTATCATCTTGTGAGTCAATAACTCTGTTTCCACCATCAGCATAAATCTTGTATTTTGTTTATTCCATGTTGAACATATTCATATTTTTAAGGTTTCATTGATGCCTAAATGTTCAGCATGTGGACTTTAATAAGTTCTGGATCATCAGACAGTGAGGATGTGAGTTTTGTCTTCACTAACCAACAATCACACCCTTCTCAGTTGAAATCGAAACAGGCGATCAACTAGTCTTTCACACTCGCAGACAAGCCACTTAGAATAGAAAGATTACTGGCCTGTCATGTTTTGTTTACATTTTCAATAAAAATACTAATGGTTTTCTTTTTGAACAGAAAATGTAGGTATTAAAATGCACAATAGTATGTATTTGATGTTGGAAGATGAGAAATGATTTTTTTTCTATCACTTTGCCTAGATATGGTCATGGCTAATAATAAGTTGTGACTACATCGTTCATTGTCCATCCATCTATTGAGCGTATTTATCCATTTCGCTAAGTTGTTATTCATTTTTTTCTAATTGTTCACTAATTCTTCATTAGTTCTTGATTTATTTTTATATTTACCTTAATATACCAGAACTAAATATATTGTTTTCAACTAGTTTATCAAATTTATTCAAATGTTTTTATTCTAAAACAGTATTTTTCTCAATGTTAAACATTTTCTTGTTTGTATATTTTCAACAGATACATCCTGTATAAAATAAATGAATGTTTTGTATTGTTACTGCCGTTTTCTGTATACATGACTGCCTTATTTTCTTATACAGACAGTCTTTTACCTTCATTCAAGTATCACTGTAAGATGAGTATGTAAAAATAAATCAATAGATCATGATAGACAAATTAAACAGTTCAAAGCAAACGACAAGCAGGCAAGCCAAGCCTGCAAACATTCGGTCTGCTTGAACCTGTGCTACATTTTCTATCAAATTTATTTTACAAAAGAATATCAAAACACCTTATATGCTAGTCAAATCTTATCTAATCTACATAATATATCTTGTACGTATAGACAAAACACGTACAACTTGAAGCTTTGTCATGTCTAGTCTATTTTGTCTGATGATGTCGTTACAACTAGTCTAGAATAAAGATACACATTTATGAAGGACAATAATCCGATGTAATGTTGAATATACAAAATGGCAATATGATAACAGATGTAAGTTTTATGGTAATGATTATAACGCACATATAGAAAAGATGACTACTCTTCATGTATATCATATGTTATTATCATGCTTGTTCATTTTTTCAATATTTTCCATTCTATTTTAAAGATGAAAAGAAAATAGATAGGAAAATATTTTCACGTCAAACCTATTTATGTATGTATATGCGAAATAGGATCTGAATATTAAATAATTGCAATAGAGAGAATGATGTAACACATACGCAATTATTTGACTACCGTTATTATTTCAATCTATACGAACAAAGTATTCAAATAACATCTGTATTGCCTACGTCTGATAATAACTTGTTCGTTATGAGAGATAATGTTTATGTGACTATTGAACATACACTAAATTATATAAAAATATTTTTACCAGATAGACAAGATCTTCAAAAATAATGTTTAAATCCGTTAAAGTTTCGTTATAACAATGTTTCAACGATAGACTAACGTAAAAGTGTCATTTTTACGATTTGTTTAACGTGTTTAAATGTCCTAAGAAGATACGAACTCGTTAAAACCAATACCTTTCTTTAAGCTTAAGGTTCTTATCAGTTTTATTGCCACACTCTATCGGTATCATAAAGGTTAGACTTAATCGTCTGTTAATCTATTTCAAACTATATGATAAAAGTTTTTTTCTAAAATCAAATTCGAAAAATTAAATAAATTACAAAAAAATTCTATTCGTATAGTTTGAAATTGATTAACAGATAATAATGTTTAATTAATATGATAATGCTACAGGATTAAAACAGAACTAGTATACAGCTAAGAAATCATTATGACAATCTCTTAAGGAATCTTGAGGTATAGAGTTGTTACTTTTTCTTTACACAGGGTACTTAATTTTAAAAAAATCCAACGTGTAAAAATGCGCTTAAATTGTTTCAAACGATATTCAAATCATGTAAAACGCACATTTGAAGAATCCGTAAAAATATTGAACATTGTAAAATTGTGAGAAAGTATTTAGCGAAAATAGCATAATAAAGATGCACGTTTTTAATAGTTATTATCAGAATTGAGAATTTTAAACAATAAAAAAACTCGATTGATGACTTAAAGGCGTTAGAATATAATGCTTTTACATTTAGGAACGTGTTAGATTTTTTATGCGTTTGAACACGGACTTTTTTATTGATTTTATCTGTTTAGGACATTGCGGTTGTGTATTTCGAGAAGGAAAACAAAAAACTTTAGAAGCAATAATACAAACTCTAGGACTAATCGAGAAGTCTTTTAAATATTTTCTAATTTTTTTCATATACATTTATAAAATCGTCTACCTATAATTACAAAATCAATACATAAGACAAGTTCATTTCATGTTCTCTGCTATAGTATCAATTCAAGATGTTCTGAAACATTTCACAATATCTTTCCTGAAAAAAATAATCTATAAATGAATAAAAAAAAAAAAAGATTATTCATTTTGAGTTGTAATTCATTTGTAATAAATATACATAAAGAGTATAAAGTTGTAAAGATTTAACTTTAATTGATTTCATCTAACTAAGAACATTATTTTAGTTTAAATAACAATACTCATTGTAAGTTCAAACATTGTAAGAACTATTGATCTTTACATATAAACGTTATGTCAATACAAATTAAAATTAAATATTACATTTTATTTTTGACATAAAAAAAAATGAGAACAAGCTTAAATGTAACAAATTTATAAAATTTGATGCTTTTCGTTTTATTAAGAACACAATAGAAAGACTAAGTATTAGTAGTTGAATAGTCTTTTTTGAATCATATGACGTAACTGACTGAACACAAAAAAAATGTAACACAAATTAAACATGTTCGAATCTAGCCTTCATCATTATCGTTCTTTCATTTTGAGTAGTCAAAACATTGTTAACTAATCGATCGAGTATACATATTGCATAAAATACGGTAGAGCAAAGATATTTAATTAATTTTTTTTGTCAAATTGTTTTTTCGTATGTCAGACAATCATCGAAACGGAAGTCAGTAATAAAAAAAACTTGATTTCATACTATTAGCACTTTTTAAGAAAAAATATGAGACAAAATACGTCGTCATGATTAGAAAAAATCGACATTATTATTTTCCTATCGTTTGCTTATCTGGAAGATTTTTTACTAATAATCAAAGATTACCTTATTGATGATATTTCTTCTGTTTTCGCAATATTGAATAAATAATATTTAAAAAAAAAAGAACTTCCTTTACAAAAATAGACAATAAAACGAATGAAATATAATACAATTTTAAATTAGAATCACCGTCTCTTATTTTTATCTGACACAAAAAAAAAGATTGATCATCAATTTGTGCTACATAAATTTCTTAGATCATGCCTAATCGACGTGATTTCTTTCTTAGTCGAATCATTTGTGCTAACGTTGTAAATGCATCTGTTAAACCATCTCCAGTTAGTGCACAACATGGTATAATATAATAAGTACCATCAGGCCATTGAATTAAATTAAGTTTTTCAGCTATATATTCAGCTGATAAAGCTTCATCAGTATCTTGTTTATTAGCTAAAATAACAAGTGGAACATTACTCATTGATTCATGTTGGTAAACTCCTTCTAATTCAGCTCTAGCTAGATTAAGACGACGAGCATCAGTGGAATCAATAACAAATACAAGTCCATCAACATTATCAAAATAATGATGCCATAATGTTCTTAAATGATCTTGACCACCAACATCCCAAACAGTTAATGAAATTCCACGACATGGAGATATTGTTTCAACATTGAAACCTTACATGTTCAAAATAAAAAACTCATATAATTTATTTTTAGACAAAAAAAAATAATTAAGTAGCATACCAATAGTCGGTACCGTATGAAAGTCTTCTGTACGCTTCATTCGATAAAGTATTGTTGTTTTACCTATAGTATATACATTTATTTATTCAAAACAAAAATCAATTTTTTTATATCATCATACCTGCATTATCTAAACCAAGCATTAGAATACGTTTAGGACCGTCAACTGATAATTTTTTCATAACTTTTGATAAAACTTTACCCATTTCTAGAAATACAAATAATCGCAAATATAACTTATTTCCAATCGTCTTCGTCGCTAATGCAAAACAAACAAAAAAAAAATGATCAGAAAAAACAAAAAAAAAGAAAAGACTGTATTACACATATACACACGCGCGCTACACCGTTATTATGCACAATATAATATGTCAATCATCGTACTGCAAAGCGAAATCTATTCGAATCTGTCGTCATAATATGTGTAGCGTTGGTTTAAAGGACACACAGGTGAATGAATAATATAACCAATAGAAGAGGGGGGTAGCACATAACAAGGTGAGACTATTGTGCATCAGTCAAAGACGTATTGAAGCAAGATTTTTTTTTCTATTATGCATATATAATCGAACAAGACAAGAAAGGAAAAAATGCAAAGAATCGACCCCCTTCTTCATCGTACCTTCATCAATACATAAGCAAGTACCTTGCATTTACTCGTCTTCAATATATCCTTGATATTCTTGTCCAAGAATACGACTACTGTTTATTCATACAATCTATCTACATGAAGATAACGATTCGTAGTATCTGTACATATCATAAATGGGAAAAAACTTATAAAAATTCACTTGTTCAATAAATTGACAATTCGGCTTTTTTTTTTCTCGTGTATTTCAATATACTATCGATATGAAATCATACATTATCATATCAGTCATTTTTAATTAATATTCACTAGTAAGAAAAATAGAAAAAGAAAATGATTACTTATATAGATAAATATATATGCTGTAGGCTAACTGAAGTACAGAACGATCTGTGCAAAAGATGTTTGATAAAATTAATTGATGAGAAAGAACTTGTAGAATGTCTTAAAGAATTTTACTAATGAAAAAAAAACTGAAGATTCTTAATAAATACAATCATGACGAATGACTTTTAATATATATATATGGCAATATTTGTCGAATATCAAATATCTTTTTCATAATAAAGCGTAGGCAATTTATTGAAAAAAAAAACTGACACATAAATCAATATGTGTTTTATGACGGATATGATAATATTTTCATTCATTTACATGTCAACCAAAATTAAAACGAAATCAATGTCTTCTTGAATGTCTAAATAATGCCAAGGTCTAAATCTATTTATACATTAATCTATATGACATGAAATAAATATCAGCAATAGAGATAATATTTTATTTCTTCTCGTAAGGATGATAAGTTTGTTAGAAGAAAAGAAAAAAGACCTATTAATTCGAAAATCTGATATCTTATTAGAATTTATTTTAACAATGATTATTTTAATTAAAACACAATAATATAAATCCATTTTATTTTATTTTTATGAAAATTATTTTTGTTTGGTTGTTAAGATAAAATTCATTTAAATACAAACGATAATTTGGTTCATTCAAATAATTTTTTCGATTGAAATACAGTTTCTTTCACAATTCTTGTCAATATAATCATAAATTATTTCTTTTTTGCATAACTTCTAACTGACTATTGATAAGTTATGTCAACTTGATGTTATCTATTTTGCACAATGTCATCTATTCGTTTGTTTACTTTTCTTATACAATCTCTATCGAATCATAATTGTCGCTGTTAACATTGTTTCGGTAGTGAATCGATGATCATTTTACCATTATATGAGTGTATTCTTTAAAATTTTCTCATATAAAAATCATCAACAATCTATAAATTATGATTCTTGTTCTAAGCATAAACATTTATGTAACATTCAATGACAACATCGCTAATAGTTCTTCTTCTTTTTTTTTTTTTGAAACTGATGTCTTATTATATTCTTAACTGTTTCGTTTATTTCTGCCGTATTATAAATACAGATTCACGAAAATGATGATTATAACGTAAGAAGAAAAGAAGACAACAAGATCGTAAGACAAAAAAAAAAGAAGAATTGAAAGAGATGTAACAATTTTTGTCATTGTCGTTTGTCATAATTGTGAGAGAAGTAAAAACGAAAATGTTGATCCTCTCTCAGTTGTACGATCACGTTTTGTGTATCTAGTCATCGTCTTCGGACGACGGTCGTATGTATTCCGTTCTTTATTTGAATAGTTGCTTGTTATTTGGTCAGGTCAAAATAGAAGAAAAAGAAAGAGAGAGAGAGAGAGAGAGAAGGATAGGTACAGATAAAACGAAATAAGACTAAAAGTATAGTATTCTCGTTCACACTACATTAACAAAAAAAAAAGAGGAATGAAGCTCTTTATACTAACTTTTCTACTGCTAACAGCAGTATTTATTCATTCAATAAATAGTGAACAATTTGTTGTTGGTTGTTACTTTACTAATTGGGCTCAACATCGACAAGGTCTTGGACGGTTTCTTCCATCACATATTGATCCATCTCTTTGTACACATCTTTATTATGCATTTGCTAATATCGATGTTACGAATCGAAGTCCTAGTCCATTCGAAGTCAATGATGTTAAATCATCTCCATTAACATCACCTGTTATTGTTAATGATGTTGTAAAACCTGGTAGTAATGGTCGTCTTAATGGTCAATTAAAACCACCAATAAAACAACCACCACCAATGAGCATGTATGAACAATTTAATATCTTAAGACATAAAAATCCTCAAATGAAAACATTATTATCATTGGGTGGTGCAAGTGTTAATTCTACACAATTTCGAACTGTTTTTGAACCTGAAAAAACACGTCGTGAATTTATACGAAATACAATAAAATATTTACGAAATTATAAATTTGATGGTTTAGATTTAGATTGGGAATTTCCAGAAACTGAAACTGATCGTCGTATATTTTCTTTACTTGTTCGTGATTATCGATTAGAATTTCAAAATGAAGCTTATTTAACTGATCGTGCTCGTCTTCTATTAACAGCAGCTGTTGCTGCTTATCGTCCTAAAATTGAAGCTGGCTATGATATTAAAGAAATATCTCCATATCTTGATTATATCAATTTAATGGCTTATGATTATCATGGTTTGTTTGTTTTTTCTTCTTCTTTTAAATTAAATGAAATATTTTCTTTTTTTAACTGTTTTAGGTAGTTGGAATACTCATACAGGTTTTAATAGTCCTTTATATGCACGTTCAAGTGAAAAAGGTGATAAACGTTTACTTAATCAACAAGCAACAGTTGATACATGGATTGATGGTGGTTGTTCACCAACAAAGTTAGTTCTTGGTCTTGGTATGTATGGTCGAACATTTAAATTAAAACAAAAGAAAAATGCTGATACAAAACCTTATGGACCATCAAAAGGTGCTGGACTACCAGGTAATTATACTGCTAGTAATGGATTTCTTTCTTATTATGAAATATGTGATTTAATAAAAAAACAAAAATGGCATACTGAATACGATAAAGAACAACAAGTACCATATGCATATAAAGATGATCAATGGGTTAGTTATGATAATCAAGAATCAATTGAAAAAAAATGTCATTATGTTGCTTCAAAACGTTTAGCTGGTGCTATGATATGGTCACTTGATTTTGATGATTTTAATGGTGCTTTTTGTGGACAAGGAAAATATCCATTATTAACAATAGTTAAAAAAACACTTGATAGTCTTCAAGGACCAACAACACCATTTAAATATCATAAAACAACACAAACAACAATAACAAATCATGGATATTTTAATAATTATTCATTTTTTCTTTTATTGATTAATTTTATTTTTCCGATATTTATTTATCATTTTATTTGACAGATTGTTTTTTGTTTGGAAATTTATCTATGTTTTATTTCGAATCTCACTCGAAAAATAATGTCTTTCTATTTTATCAAACAAATAGATAAACATTTGGCTTCTTGCATATTCAAATGTAAAAACAAAAAAAAAAAAACGAAAGATTTTAAGTAACGAGTTTTTTTCCTTTAAAAAAATTATTTAGACGATTAGAATCATATTATATATGAACTTTTCTCTTTCCGTAATCAATTTACTAAACAAATATCATGATTGTTAAGTAAACAATATCGACTAGATTTAACTTGATCATTGATACTCAAGCTTTTATTTATTCAGATGAATGAGTGATCAAACATAAATGTTTAAAAATAGTAAAAAAAAAACAACCTTAATTTCTCACTTTATTGATTAAATGATGAGACTTTAAAATATTAGATCATTTAATAAAGTTCAGCTAAACAAAATGATATGACGTTTTAGATAGATATTGAATACTTTAATAAGTCTTTCTAGCAAACTTAAATAGTCGACTCTCTTTGCCTCACTTCTGATTGCATCCCGATTAATCTGTTAATTAAGACCATTTAGGATAATAATTTAAGTTGAAGATACACATATAATACTCGTATCTCATGAGACGATTATTTATAATTTAAAGTCACAAGCTATCTCAGAGTTCCTATGGATTGAGTTCAACCGATTTTAGGATAGACACTGATGAGCTATCCATGTTGAAAGAGATCGAAAAAATCTAATTCTCATCAATTGTTTTGTCCTCATTAAAAATCATTCAAAATATTGCTCTTCTAATCTGATTGCAAGCAGGTTATTTGATTTTTAATTAATTTACATTAATTATTTACTTTTTTTTATTGATTTTAATCCCAATGAATCTAAAACACGTTTTTCCCATGTTTCAATTTCGAAACTCAAATTTTGATTATTTATTTATTTTTTTTGCACATCTTCACTCACCAAATGGTAAGTATAATATTATGTTTTCGTCGATTGAAATAAGTTTTTTTAACTTTAGAGTCATATTTTATTAAATTGTACTTGATGTTAATCGATTAATAAAGTTTAATCAATTAAATTCCAATAGTAGATTAAGATGCATTGAAATCTAATAACTTTATAAAAATAGATTGAAAATTAAATAATCTATTTCAAATCAGAGCATAATAGTAGCATTTTAATCGATTTCTAATCAGAAAAAAATTGATGTAAGTCAGATTTTTATATGTCATTTTTTAGATAAGTTACGAGCTTTAGTCCATAGATTGATGATAGTCTAGAAGTAAAACTTTGAATAAAAACACAACATTCTTTAAAA